TGTAGCTGAGAATTAAGCCTATATAAAGCAAAAAAAGATTTGTCTCGAAAGTGTTTAGTCTGGCAGATACATCAAAAACAAAAACGTTACGGACTTACGTTTCGTTATGGACTTACAGCTTTTTTTGATTCTTTCAAATCAGAAGGTTAAACTCCATTACAAAAGTCGTCATGGAAAAATATTTCCGCTAGCAGTAGACAGTATCTGATCTGATCTTTCCAATGCACCGTAGAAAAACGTTTTGAAATCGTTTTGACTTGGAGAAAAACCTGTTTTACTTGGTCTTTCGAAAAACCAACTTTCTTGGAAAGCACCTAAACTCAAAAATAAATACACCATCTTGTAGAGAATTAAATAAATTCTCTACAAAATGCCATATCTCTTAATTTTTTTCGCGAAAATATCTAGGTCAGGAAATTAATAAAACATTATTAAACTGATAATTAATTTCGTAAAAAGCTTCATGTTATCAATTTTAATTAGTGGATTCTATTTCCATAATTGTATTCGTTGTCTGTTTGAATAATTATAACAATTCTTCTTTGAGAATTGAATATAAAAATCATGATAATAGAAATTCAACTTTTCTTGAACACTTTCAACTGTGTGATACATATTTTCATTATCAAATGGAACATCGAGATAAACTAGATGAGTTATTGATCTAAATATTTCAAGAATATCATCTAATTTAAATGATTTTGTTCGAAGACTAAGATCAATCAATGTTAAATAATGAATGTTTGTAAAATATTGAAATATATGTTCTAAATGTTTAGTATTAATTTCAAATAAAATGAGTTCGATGATATTTTTGAATATTGGATAAAATCTAATATCTTTAAAATTATTTGTTAAATGTAAAATTGTTTGATAATTTATTTTCAATATTTTTACGTTTGGTACTGATAATAATAAACGTTTACGAAATATATTCCATTCATTCTCGTCTAATTTTGCATCTGAATTGAAACATAGAGATTGAATTGTCTTAAATTGATATTCATTATCATTGACATTATCATCGTCATGTAGCCATGGATTGGTCTCATCAGTATCGTCTTCCAGTCTGTTTATATTAAGTACACAAACATTTTTAAGGGTTTTATTAAGAAGTTTGAATAGTGGTACTGAAAGAGGAGAATACATGTTTAGAACTCTTATGTGCTGATAAAAATATGGATCATTAATATTAACAGATCTACCGTTACATTTTCGTTCAAGAAATCCGTTAGACATTCCACTAAGTGGTGATGATGAAAATGGGAGAGAATTTAAACAAAAACATTTTTGATTTTCATTATAGTGACATTCAATTAGCCAATTTCTTTTTAACCAATAATCACTGCTGAATGAGACAACAATCTCGTCTACTAATATATGATTATCTAACTCGACGAATACTGAGTAATAAAGAGTATTTAATTGTAAAAATTTTGATAAAAATTCTCGTTTTACATAGTTTCCGTCAATGAAATTTGTTCGTTGTCGAAACGATATTTCTAATGATAAACGTTTTAAGCCAGAAGGCAAGTGGCGAATTAGATTCGAAATAAATGTATCATTTTCAAATGGATGACATGATTTTAGTGAAAAATCGGTTAAATGATGGATCTTTTTTGCCAAATTTTTATAGACATAATGTTTGATATCACTCTTATGACAATCGTCATTGAGAAAGTTCACCTGTATCGATCGTATATTAGGTAAATTATTGAATAAAATAAATAAATCTGAAAAATAATTCAATGTTATAATTAGTTCTTGTAATTTACATGGACGAATATGTTTATTTATAAAAAGCCAGTTTAATTCTAATTTTTCAAGAGAACTATTACGACAAAATAAATATTTACATAAATTAATATGTCGAAATTCTTTTGAGGTCTGCGGATATTCGTCATCATCGTCGGGTAAAATGAGACTCAATTTTAGTTCTGATAAGCGTTGAAATAATTCTAAATGAGATTCAATATCATTAAGGCGTACTTTTACAATGGATACGGTTTGTAGATTTGGACATAATGATAGAATATCCAATTGATAATATGTTTGTTCACCACCTAGTTTAAGATTTTTCACCCATACACCAATTGTAGGTAGTAGAATGTTGATATAACACTTGAATGTCTTGTGCCATATTTTCGTCAAATCAACAGTGTTAAAATAATATTCTAGTAGACAATTTAGACGATTATTAAGATTAATAAATGACAGAAATACATCAGTTGAATTCAAATAGCCAAATATATTAAAAATTACCTCGTTTGGAAGACTTGATTCAAACGTGGACATGCTGAAAAACACGTTTAATTTTATCGTGGCTTAAACTTCGCCAACAATAAATTCTTCTTTACAGCATTTTTCGTATTTTTCTTTCTTTTTTGTCATTTTTTCGATTAGAAAAAGGCAAAAATACCGTCTTTTTGTTCAATTCGGTTTTCCCTTTCCTGTTCTACTTTGGGTTTCTTTTCTTTTTGCGTTAACGTGAGTGCGTTAATAGTGTGCGAACTGCATCAGTCATAACTTATTTTCAAAAAAATATTTCAATACAGGTTCTTGTTGTATACCTTAAATTAGAGCCGTATCAAATAAGGGATATCTATATCTTGTCACTTGACGAAATATTTTTATCATATAGAAAAAAGAACACGATGTATTGGAACACTCTCTATAGACATTTGCTCACATTTGCCGAGAAGTGACAAGATATAGATATCCCTTATTTGATATTTGTACTTCTTTCTTTATATACTACATTCATTACCATATTGTGCAGGGGTCACCACTTCTCGTGATAAAGGCAGTAACCTCCTCTACATGTTTCAGTTACTGACCGCCAGCGATTTCTACAGTCGATCTAATCAGACCAATACTTCAACATCAGGTTATGTAAGCACAGGGCCGAAACTGTATCTAACAATACTTGAAAGTTTCTTTAAATTTTGCTTTTCTTGTGAAAAAAGCTATCATAAAACAAGTGTCAACAAAAGAGTATGCAACGTGAAGTGATGACGACTTTCTGCATCATACAGTCTACCGTTTTGTGTGAGTTGTTACGCCTACCCTTGAAGAAATGTATCATAGTTGCTCAGATTAATTATCGATGTTTGAAGAAAAAAAATTACAAGTCCCAGACAATCACATACTTTCGAACGTTCTAACTCTCCTGGAACATCTGCAAAGACTGAAAATAAATTATTTATTAATTCAGACGCACAGTTCCCTATTCGCGTTTAAAATTTTACTGTACTCCTTCGAGTTCCCGAGAAAATCGTTACGGAAATGTTGTTGTTATTGCATTAATGTGTCTTATTGTCACAGAATAAGACACATTAATGCGACTTAATTTGGTCCTAAGTCGCATTTTTTTTAGAGTGTATCAGTGTAAAAAGTGGCAAAAAGCAGAAAAATGCAGGATCCACAATATTCCGTATCGTGATGTTTATTCTGGGATTATATATATTATTATTATCATATTGTGAGCAAAACTTTAGTAGAAGCCTCATTATGTCTCACAATCGTACAAAATGCTGTGACAGTTTATAATTTTTCGCGAAATTGTGGCATATTGTAAGACAAAGTGGGAATTCTGTTAAAAGTTTGTTCACAATATGGTAGAATATTCCAGAATAAACATCACGATACGGAATATTGTGGATCCTGCATTTTTCTGCGTTTTGCCACATTTTACCGTAACTATATTTTGTGTGTCGACTCGATGAATATAGTTCAGGAGGTAAGACACGAACGTAAGATTTTTCCATTATAGGTTGCATGCGTCAATCAATTTCCTATTTTGAAATACTAGGGACGCTATGATAGAAGATACCACATAATTTGTTTGCGAAGAAAAATCTTTAGGCACATTTTTTGGTTAAACCTTACCCTACAAAAAAAGAGTGCCTGCGGCATGCAAGGATAAAAATTATTGCAGGCGGTATGCGCACGTCTTTGCAGGTCTGCAGGGAACATCGAGGCAGACCTGCCTTAGGACTGCGACATATATGCTGAAAATATGAAAATCGGCAGGCATGCCGATGTATACTGACTTGAAAAGTGTACGAGGATCCTACTTTACATTGAGGCTATGAATATCAAGAAATGGTGCTAAGAAAGGCAGAACGTGCTAGAAAGCTCTCGCTTTAGCCTACTGCTCAGAAAACTAATTCTCTCTGTTGAGAGTTGTTCCTATTGTTCATCTACTCATTGAGTAAAAACTTGTAATATATTTCTCCTCTACTGAGAACAAAGAATTTATGAAAGATATATCTTTCGTAACTATATAAGTGCGTCTAAAATGTATATGCTGCTTGCATTAATTTGAATTTAGAACCGATCTCATATCTCGTTTGTGACAAATGTAAGAGATAGCACCAGCGGTACTTAACAACAGTGTGTAAACGACAACGGTCAACAATCACCACATCAATCTGACTTCCTTTTAGATTTTCCTGAAGTGATTACAGAGACCGAAACGGGTCAACCAAACGTGACCCCGACGTAAGTTGACCCGAACCTGACCGAAACGTGAGTTGACCCGATTCGAAACATGAAAATATTTTCCTACACATTCGCAAAGAAACACTTCTTTCCTATAGAAAAGTTATCTTAGTCAGATTGTTTTGAAATTTTTTCAAAAAAATGGTCAGATTTCTTACGGTTTCCGTCATTTTTTCCTTTTATGAGTGGAAAATTTTGGTAATTCAGGCGGTTTATTTTATATTGACCTGAGTTAGATCGAACCGGGTCAATCAAAAGCGATCCGACCCAATCCGAACGTGAGTTGATCCGAGCCGAATCAATATCTTTTACGCTGGCCCGAACCCGACCTGACCCGTTTCGGTCTACACTGTCAACAGGGTCCCGTGAAGACTCCATTGATTGTCCAGGTGTTGCCGTTGTCGCTCCAGGAGCTGCTGTTAAATGATTTTGTGTCTGTAGAGCAGACATGAAAGATTCGATGAACGTTTCGACAATATGGATATATCAGCACATCCGTTTTGTTCAATTTGGTTTTCCCTTTCCTGTTCTACTTTGGGTTTCTTTTCTTTTTGCGTTAACGTGAGTGCGTTAATAGTGTGTGAACTGCATCAGTCGTAATTTATTTTCAAAAAAATATTTCAATACAGGTTCTTGTTGTATACCTTAAATTGTTTTATTGTACGTTTGTATCGAATGGAGCCCTGTCGTTAGAATGTGTTTGTTGCTACTATACTTTCTCGTCGGGATCGAGGCAAGAGAAGTGTGTATTCTTGGTGCGAAATGAAGCGGGAAAACGACTAAAGACTCAGGTATAAGTCTAACGATAGTTTGCCGTTTACTCTCGATAGATCCCTTTCAGCAGACAAAAATTTAACTGATCTGTAGTTGTTGAGATATTTTGGAAATAGTCGATTTTTTCTATTTTATGACTCATACGCGCACAATAGATAATTAAATGAAGGTAGGCTGAGAAACATCAAACAGAAGCTTGTATGATTCATAACACAATGATGCCATCGAAGCATCGACGCCAACAAAATCTTATTAATAATAGGCGGAAAAAATGTCGTACTACTGTACCTAAAAGGTTATCTCTCACTACAATGAATAACGAAATTAATACAAAAGCAACAGCCTCAAACCAAGTAGAAAATGACAATAGAGACATACCTGCAAGAATCCGAAATTTACACGAAGATACCGAAGAAATACTTGTACGATAACCATCCTTGAATCCAGATAATGATGTTAATGGACATATACAGTTAAACTTAAACTAAAGTACTACATCAAATCGCGAGACGGACTGATCTACCAAGATCTTGTTTCTTTCTGTTACTAATGCTTTGTATACACATTCCTTGACATACATCATTTTTTAACAGAAATTTGATTTCGAGTTTTAAAAGATATCTAACGAACATAGGTTGGTCGTATATTCTGAATTTCAACAAGTTTTAGGAATCAACAGAAAATACTTGGCTTCTTGGAAGGTATTTTAAGAAATCTTTTACTACGGGAATTTTTTTCTAATCTCACTGGTAGGATCAGATTTAACAGTCGAAATGGAGTATATGTTGCTATAGTTTAGACTGATTTTGACTGAGTTACGAAATTCCTAACTTTCGGTGACAATAGCTCAAAATCGATTATTTCACTCAGTATAGATTTCCACTACGTTTTCGAATTTTCGTGTGAAAACAAACATTGTCACGAGACTCGGCATGGTCGAAAGCCTATTTTAGGGATTACAGAACTAATCACACTGAGAGAGATAGGTCCTCAGTGAACGTCTGTAGCGTCTAAATCATGACAGATGGAAACTTAAGACTTGTGTAATTTTGTAGAGCGAAGTTCGATGGTTCGAATCCACGTTTCGGCTTTCAAAATTCGAGATATTTTTAGTGGAGGCGATCTTGCCTAAAAGGTACTGATAGGTACACCATCTGCAGGTGGTAGTTTTAGTTTTATGTTTTGTAAATAGTCCCAACATTTCGCTTTCAAATAACGAAGACCGCGTGTTTCTAGCTCTTTTATATCAAAAGTTAAAAAAGCAATGGAGTCTCTTATATTTTCAAATTGGTAGTAGATGTAGTACGGTTTGTCCGGCTAAACATCCCCGTTTTCTGTTCTTTTTCAAAAAATTCTTGCAATAAAACTGCAAACTAATCTAAGATTGCAAAGAGATAATTAAATAGATTAAACATTTCTCTATAAAATAAGAAGTGTCTCGGCTCTCGAAGGTGATTCATTATGAAAATACAGCTATTGTAGCTGTATTTTACAGCAATAGCAAATAGCCCAAAAGATCAATTTTGGAACTAGCTGAAAAATGTGTTTAAAAGCGTGAAGACGAGCAGGCGAAAATCCAACCAGTATATCAGGTTATAGAAAATTGTTTGCTCTACATGATGTAATAGTTTTTTAATATTAAAACTAGCTCATTTCATCTATATTGATTAAATAAAAACCAAGAAAATCGTAACGCGATGACAGAAAACGGTTAAAAAATGCCATCACGTTACCGGCCATATAAATGCTGCAGTGTTTGAACGATAGCTCATACTTCAAACCTTTTTACATCTCTTATAGGAGCCATCGGGATCTGTAAAATAATGCAACATTCGCTCTTATTCCTGCTCATAAGTGCGAGAAAATAAGCGTTAACGCTGAAAATGCGTCATCACGTTACCTGCGAACAAGCCGAGTTGCAACTGTAGCTGATCTATGCAGACGAACGAATGCTAAAAGTAATCTGCCCTGCTGGTTTTTTTCAGTCTTCTACTCTCTAAATATATTAAAAATGTGGCAACATTGAGATTTTGATCTGCCTATGTTTGCTAGACCTCTTTCAACGCCGAAGTTTTCTGTTTGTACAATAGCTGGTGTACTTGAAAAATAGCCATCTTCAGGTTCAATATCTTGTATTTTCCATGTTAACGGTTGGTCAGTCTTTAATTTTTTGCAGATATACAAATGTTAGCAATTAATCCATATACAAACGGTACGAAATTATGTTTTTATCAACTCCATTTCTAGATTCAAAGCTTGTGCTACATCTATTGCGAGTACTGTTTAAGAGCAATGTAAAAATAATTTGCTATTGGGCAGAAAAGTAGAAAGAAACGAAAGATGCGCTATAATATTTTGGTATGATGCGCTCACTAATCTCGTCAAGAAAAATAACAAATATTTCATACAAGGAATTGAACCTGAAGATGGCTACATTGATGCATAAATAGAGAATACTGCAACGAGGCAAAGGAATCACTCCAGTCTTCTTGTCTGTGGAGTTGTGTTGCGATACGATAAGGCTCAGGAGATTTTATATATTGACAAGACTATTTAAAAATTTCTCACTGATCGATTACTATAAAACACACAATTTGTTGGAATATCTTCATATGATCGATCGTGCTCAAGTATGTGTACTGTTAACTTTACAAAAATTTTCATCGACAGGACATTTTAAGCATTACAACCATGTGTAACGTTTTTATTTCAAGATTCAGTTAAAGTTTCCATTATACACTATACTATCATATAACATGAAGAAAGTGAAAAATATTCCTGTGTATGAAGTAAGAATTCTCTTTCTTCTCAAACGTTCTGTTTGATAGAATAGAGGTAAATGAGTTTACTCTAGAACAACAAGAAGAAAGAGAACAAAAAAAGTAATGTTCTCGACTGAAAACAGAAAAGAATTCTACGTACTTACTTTACTTGTATAAAAGGTATTCTGTCAAGACAACGATATTCTCACAAATAAATTTTTTCTCTAATCCAACGATGTCAAACGTTATATATAATCCACAAATAGTTGAAGGTGATTCATCTGGTTTCAATTACAGTAGTGCTGCTGGTGTACCATCAGGTGGTGTTCACGATCGCTCTGCTTTACCGACGACGCATGATACAACCACTGTGGCTATATCATCACCTACTAGTCCAACCGTTTTAATGGGTACAACATTGAGTCCAGATCATGGAAAATTAGGAAGTGAACACGGTGGAGCTGGAACACGTAATAATGATCGACTCGGACAAAATGTTCCACAAACAGGTGATACAACATCGCCAGTTTCAAATATTAATCCATAAAACAGAACATTTTCTTCAATAACAAGACTATCATTTTTTTTAATAAATTTGTGTCATTTGTACATACTTCTCGAATAAATGTCTCAAAAACAAAACAAACATGTGATAACCTTGACACTCTTCGAACGATAATGAATTTAAAAGTAAAACTATAAGAACTAAAAAACGAATGTTTTTAGTTGATGTTTTCGTCTCATCTTCTGTAGATTTAAAAATAAGAAGTTACCATTGTTATGCACGTTTATTGAAGATCGTACCAAATTTGTCTGAAAAAGGATTTGTTATTTAAAGCTCAAATTTTCTATTTACAAACATTTTTCTGACAAAATGTTGTTGAAGCGACGAGATGCGATAGTATAGGTGGTAAGAAAATTGGTAATAACTTAACGTTCTTTTTTTGCATAATAATCTATGTAAATATTCAGCCGATTGGATAGATATTTGAATTATATTGTCAGAATTTTACATCATACAATTTAACTTCATCAAACTGCGTATGTCTTGTAATAAATCTAAATATATTTACTTGATCTTTTTTTACTATTATGACATCTCCTTCATAAGCATATAAGTAGACAAATGATTAAACTTTTGAATTTTACAACTAACATTTGATTAGAAGAAATTTACTTCAGATCAACAATTCCATATTAGTTATTTGTCTTAAATGGGTTTTCTCAAAAGTATAACTAATGAAGTACTTTGGGATAAATAGAGACAGCTCATTGAAATGCACGGAAGTCTTATAGACAAATTATTACTGTGTTCCAGAAATCGATTTTTATACTATGCTAAATGACCGAGTTGTCTAGAATGCTGAACTCTATCTCATATGTAAAAATTAGCTCATTATTAGATAAGTTTTCATATTGGCTTCGCAGTACGTGGGACTGGGTCGCAATTTTCAGATGATTGTTTTTCCATCTGATAGAGGAGATTCCATATTACATATGAGATAGAGCTCAGCGTTCTAGACAACTCGGCCATTTGGCATAGTATCAAAATCGCTTCTGAAACACAGTAAAGGGTTGTCTTTGAGACTTCAATGGACTATCGCTTTTTACTTAATTAACAATTAATTCTGCAATAGAACTTCTTTTTTTAATGGATTGTCCCTTTTTACTCTATGTGGGATAAAAAGATACACAACAAGACTCTCCACATTTTGAATCTGGTTCAAAAACTACCGAACACTTCCGGAAGATTTTTGCATCAGTATGTAGCAAAATGTTCGGTTCACCATCTTGTTCAATAGCGAGGTTTTTCGACAAAAACGGCTGAGAAATAGCGAAAATTTCAAATAGGGTTTCTTTTTACCCCAAAATACTCTACATATTTCTGTAGAGAATAATGACCGAGTATTAATTGAAATAGGGATCATCCCAGGTCCACTGTCACGCCTCATTTGAGGCAAATTCGCGCTGGTCGCTTCGTGATCGCGATTTTTACGCGCTGTCGCGTCGCGATCAAATCTTATGAAGATTTGAAATCTGATCGCGACGTGATCCATGGTGTAAAGGGTTAACAAATGATCATAGGAGATAACTAGTCGGCCATCACACCAGGGAGAGTTGCAAATGCGGTGCTAAATATGATAACCGGACGTGAAGATTTTGTTTAATAACATAAAGCTCTCAGTTGCAACTAAGCTTTAACCTTTATTATAGCCTAGAGATTTTATCTTACATACTGCATTAATTATTTTTAAAACAGTAATGCATTTAGAGGCTAAGCATTGCGTTAATAATTCGCTGAATACATACGTATAGAAACATTGTCATAAAATGAATCACATAGTATGGGAACACATACTCCCTTATAGATGCACCTGCACATGAATAACTCAGATTAATTATCGATGTTTGAAGAAAAAAAATTACAAGTCCCAGACAATCACATACTTTCGAACATTCTAACTCTCCTGGAACATCTGCAAAGACTGAAAATAAATTATTTATTAATTCAGACGCACAGTTCCCTATTCGCGTTTAAAATTTTACTGTACTCCTTCGAGTTTCCGAGAAAATCGTTACAGAAAATGACATTTTTTCGATCTAGAAAGACACAGTTTATTACTACAATGCGGTCTTGCTTCGCACCGTCGCACCGCGTTAATTAAGTGTTCATCACTTTTTCGCAATATCTTCTCCGTGATTGTATTATTCTAGAAAGAGTGACTACATGCCTTCGTCTAAATAATACCTTTCATCTTCGAAAAAAATGACTATTGATGTCAATAAAAATCAGATTACCTTGAAATCCGCTTAGAGGTGTAATATATATATATACATATATAAACGAACGTGAATTACTCGTAGTTATACGCATAAACCGATTTTCTTCTGATAAAAAACGAAAGTACGTCCTTATATGCATAAAGACAAATTTCATCCTTCGATGATTATTTTCAACGAGCTCGTATATTAAATCGAATAAAATTTAGCGTAGGAAACGTTACGATGTAATAAGTTAGAAGATGAATTATTACACGGTTGAGAAAGAACTATCATTGGATGGACAAGTTATATGTTTGTCTATCAGATTATGTCCCTTTCTCAATCGTGTAAAAATTTATCTTCTAGTTTCATTTAAAAGTCTTGTTTCAAATTCATTTGTTTACGCCATAAGTATTTTTGACATTGTTGAGGAAGTAGACAATGTCTATTAGAAGAATTAGTTTGACGATGAAATTTTATTTATTTTTAAAATAGTAGTTGAATTAGACTATAACATCAAAGTTGCCTATGAATATCTACCATTTCAGCTATAAATGTATACTCACAAAATCGGTTCTTTTTATAATAAAAATAAATCTATCCTTCTTTTAGACATTTACTAGATTATAGTAAACATGGCTTTTGGAGAAGATTTACGTATTGGTGCTGGTTTTGATCTGGCTGCTTATGAATTAATTATTCGGTGACGTTCGTCATTACCATCACGGCGGATACGGTGGATATGGAAATACGTACGGTTACGGCCTAGGATATGGAGGAGGCTAGAACAAACTCATATATTAGATGATGATACTATTGATCCAATAGGTTTTACCGTAGGTACAATAGCTTTTATGCTTGCAGTGGGTATCTTATATGACATAATAATTAAATCGTCCCGTTTGACGGTTATGTAAGGGCTTACGGTGGATATTCGGATTATGGCAGCTTCGGCAGAGATGATTGAAAATAGATTTTGAGTAAGAAATAATACTTTTTCACATTTTAATACTCACAATTTCAGTCTTATGTGGAAGCATCGGACGTTGCTTGCGAATAATATCTGGGTGGATACGGTTCGACTTATGGGTACGGATGATAATTAAATAAAATTAATATTAAGAAACATTAATCAATAATGGAATTGATAACCATTTATTTTTGAAAATTGTTTATTGGATATACAAAATGAAAAAACGTTTGGTGCAATAAAGTAACACGAAAAAACAACGTATATTTGAAAGCTAGACAAGTAAATTGGGAAATTGTTTTGTTATGTAGTGTTACGATAGCTTTCATTTCTTTACCAAATGACTTTATAATCATAGCGCTGAAGTTCTCCCTTACGATGAAATTATGATTTATTAACGCTTAACGTCATTAGCCTATAAGTTTTAAAAATGTCAAATAATTGTGAGATTTTGGTGAGGGATCTTATAAAACGTGACTTATGAAAATCATTTCTCTCATATACATCTGTTCGCTAGTGAATAATAAATGTACTTATTACTATCAAGCTGCTATAGTTAAACAATATATATTCGATTTAATTTTACACTCAAGTTTGTTAATCGTCTAAATGAAACTCAACATTTCATTTCATCAGTGAGAGTTATCGTTTGGTAGATATCTTCTATTGATTTAACTATCCTCCATATCCTGGACCGTAACCGTACATATTTCCATATTCACCGTATCCGCCATGTGACGAACATCACCGAATAATTAATTCATAAGCAGCTAGACGCAAACCAGCACCAATAAATAAATCTTCTCTAAAGTCCATGCTTACTATAATCTAATATAATTTTTTTTCTGGAAGTCTCAAATGGTTATGTTGAATTATGTGCAATATAAGAATTATTTTTTATTACACATAACTGAATTTATGGTATTTTCATTCCTTAAAAGTCATGTTTACTAGGCTCTCTTATTTTTTTCGTCTGAAAACAAACATTGCCATGAGATTGAAAATAGTCGATAATTTATGTTTTCATATATTTCAATGGAGTGATCGAAGACATCTTCGGTGCTCGTAGAAATATCATTCCCGCATCCATACGAAATAAATCCGAGATCTCTAGAATTTTGGTCGATGTGTTATATCATAGCACCACTCACCGGATCTTTGAGTGTATAGTAACAAACACTGCAAGTTTTTGCTAATTCTCTATTGTGAGTTATTTGAAAAATAACCTGCTACATTCTATTTCGAAATTCACAAATCAGAATAAGTTTTCACTAGTCTGACAATATTATTATTATTCCATATAAATGATGAAGGCTCTTATTGAATTATTCCATATAAGCCTATTATTGAAGTTTATTATAGTTAGAAGAGTGTTATATACTTTGATTCTACTTATTAACTTGGTTATCCTACAATATTATAGAACTGCATTCTATTTTTAGTATAAATCATGTCTTCATTAGCTCCAAAATATGCTATGTATGCTTTAAACAAGCCTACTGATCAACTGTACCATACAATCGATTTGTTTCTCGATTTAACATGTCCATTTAGTGCAAAAATGTGGAAAACTCTCGTTGAAAACAACGTGCTATCATCATATAAAAATGTTCAATTTATATTTCGTCATCAAATTCAACCGTGGCACGCTCAGTCAACGTTGCTTCATACTGCACTTATTGCTGTTGCTAAACATCATTCAGAAAAATTTCAAAAAGCAGCCAGTGTATTATTCAATTATCAACAAGAATTTTTCGATGCTCAAGTAAAAGAACTGACATTTCTTCAAATTTATGAGAAAGCTATTCAATTGTTAAAAAAAGAATGTGAGATTAGTTTAGATATAGATCAGTTTAAAGTTGGACAAGGTGAGTGAATGAGACACTGACAATCTAAGAAAGGAGTCTAGTCGATCTTTTTTTCTTCTATTTTAGGTAATAGTGGTAACTCATTTGTTGATGATTTGAAATACCACATCAAATATGCTCGAAAACATGCCGTACACGTATCACCAACAGTATTTGTCAATGGACTAGAAGAACCGTCAATCAGCTCATCTTGGACGAATGAACAATGGAAAGAATTTCTCACAAAATTATAGATACATTTTTAATTCATAACTGAGTTCATCAGTCTCTTATTCTGTGCATTCAAATAACAAATCGATTATAAAGCATTTTTTGATTTCTCAATTAGAAGAGTTTATAATACATCTAAATCGGTAAAAAGGGAACATTTTTTATGAAAGTGTCTGTCGGGTGAGAAAAATGGATTTTATCTGAAAACCTATAACTTAGTCCACGAACGTGTATGCATGTATATGCTAACTGTGTAGATCTATGATAAGTAGAAGGATATTTTAACTGAAGTTTGAGCGCATTTGAAAGCTGAGTGTAACTGGGGCACTAATTTTATCGGATACCGCTCCTCGGAAAACCCTTAGCGTAGAAGGAAAGAGTATTCTTTCCGACCAGATCGTGTTAAACCGAAAATTTTTTCGCAGGAACTTCAACTTTTATCCTTAAGAACTCGGTGTTTCTTCACAAGGCTTAAGGATAAAAGCTGAAGTTCTTGTGCGGAAACATTGACGTTTCAACGATAAAACCTGAGGTTCTTGCGGAGAAACACCGAGTTCAAGTTCCAGTTCTTGCGAATAAACTTCGATTTTTTAAGAATAAAATATTTAGTTCACATCGAGTTCTTAATGTTAAAAGTTGAACTTCTTGCGCAGAAACACCGAATTCTTAGGGATAAAAGTTGAACTTCTTGTGTGGAAACATAAAAGATTAAGTTCCGGTGAAGAAAGATCATGTTTTTCAGACAAACGAAGGTCTTGTATAGTGCACAAAACGAAAACTGTAGCTCTTGATACCAGCCATAGCTAGGTTATTTAAAGTTCAACTGAGAAACATAATGTAAAAAAGGATAAAAATCAGACGAAGGTCTTGTGAAGAAGGATCGATTTAGTACGCAAGCAGAGGAAGCTGTTGTGGCGAAACATCGAATTCTTCAGCCTGAAAGATGAACTTCTGGTGAGGAAACACCGAGTGTAAAAAGTATGTTACATGCTTTCCAGTAGCCGCGCACGAACCATCTCTCAAGATCAGTACTCAAGGTTTTACATTAGGTCGCTTCATTAACTGTCCCGGCAGGGAAATATAATGATACTTATAATTGTTTATTGTCCGTTAAAAAATACAAATAGTGTCCACTACTTTTTGAGTAATTTTAGTGCAAAGCAAATAGAGAGTGCCAGCTTTCGCCATTCAAAAGAGAAGACTCCAGAGCACGTTTCCATAAGCAGATATTTTTTCGTAAGGGTTTCCTACAGCAAGCTTATTAGGTGTAAGTTGAAAATCCTGCCGTATCGGAAAAGTTTAAAGTAAGATTAAATTGGTTCTTTCTCATGGACTGATAGCCTAGAGTGTCCTCTTCAAAACGAGACTCTAGCACGGACATAATTTTCCGCGATCCTGGCGTAGTATCGGGATTCTTAGGTGTCCCAAGACTGGCACCAGATGGTTGCTGGCAGCCTTGAAAGCGGATGGAGTATAGATAATCGATCATACTGAGCCTTGTGACAACAGTTGCTTTTCGAAAGTTTCTGACATGCGAGCGGCAGCCATGCGTGCGTTTTCTTGTTGCACAATATCCATGCTCACATTTAAAATTGCAATGATGGCTTCTTTGCTCTTGAACTGATCTGAGAACGTTCACATACTTGAACACCATTGTTGTCGCTATCGCTGCCAGTTAATATCCCGCTGTCACCATAACAATCTGTCCGCCCGTCGCCAATAATGAAAGCACATTTTCAACATCTCTGAATATTTGTTTGATAAAAGGATTATCATCGGTTTGAGATGATACTCTTTGTGAATATGTAGCAGTTGATTCGGGAAGTGTTTCAGGTGTCCACGAACTTGAATTAGTACCCATTCTTAAGAGTAATGAAGAGAACAATTTACAGAGAATAATTTAAGAGAACCCATTGCTACATATTCACAAAAAGTATCATCCCAAACCGATGATAATTGTTTTATCAAACAAATATTTAGAGATGCTGAAAAAGTGCTTTCATTATTGGGGACGGGCGGACAGATTGTTATGGCGACAGCGGAATATTTACCGGCAACGATAGCAACACCAATGGTGTTCAAATATGTAATAGATCAGTTCAAGAGCAAACAAGACATCACTGCAATTTTTAATGTGATCATGGATGCTGTGCAACAGGAAAACGTACGCATGGCTGCCGCTCTCATCTCTTCTGAAATCGAGGCGATTCATTCACGGTTCGAAAGAATGTCAGATAACAATTTGAATTATTAGACAAAGCTATCGGAGGCAACGATTGCTCTCAACACGTGTGAAGAGATTCTCTCGCAATTTGAAAATAAATAGTATGTTCCTTGAAAAATGTGTATCCCCTCATCCGTACTTCTTTTTGGCTTTACTTCCATCTTTTCATGTATTATCAAATTTCTTATGGTATACGATCCTTCGTATACTAACAAAATGAGTTATTTAGGTCAAAAATTGATTGGAGTTTTGCAGGCGTACAAAAAAAGTGTGTCGACGATCGGATGGATTACATTATAGTGACAGACTTCGCAGAACGCGAAGGCGGCTCTCTTCCTTTTATGGACATGTGGGCTGAAGCAGATAGTGATTCAGCTCCAGACTGCGTCCTTTAAAAATGAGTGTTTGTCGAGTTGTGAATCACAAATTGTAAATTGTTCTCTTCATTACTGTTAAGAATAGGTGCTAATTTAAGTTCGTGGACACCTGAAACACTTCTCGAACCCATCGCTACATATTCACAAAGGGTATCATCTCAAACCGATGATAATCGTTTTATCAAACAAATATTCAGAGATGTTGAAAAAGTGCGTTCATTAACACTAAAAGCGGCAGATATTTACGAATCAGTAATTAATATTCAATTTTTTCATTCATGCATTAATGTTAATGATGTGCAAAAATTTACATTCAATTTATTTAATTTAATTTATATTCAAATTTGTTTTTAAGCGAATGCGTTGTATTCGGGATTTAACTCATTTTTTGTTCGCTGAAAGTGCGCTCTCAAAATGAACAGTGGCGGCGCGAAGAAGTTAAAGCAGGGGGGGAGGGGGTAGTTTCAAAAACTGGAGTAAGTTCGAAAAGATTTTCTGGCAAGTTTGATAAAGTAAAAGAAATAATCCAAAATTTGACATTTTTTCATTTCGGATTTACAGTTGTATAATCCGTTACCTCCACACTTTGCAGACACAGGAAGAAAATGGCATTTTTTCACTGTTCCTTCATATCCTTCACAAAACAACATACTACATTCTACGACCAGATTTATTTCTGGACCATCGTTCTACTAATTCTTGAGTATTCATAGCATACAAATACTGTTCCTATTGAACATGATAATAACGCTTGTAATCGATTCCATATTAGATATATATTTGACGAAAAAAGCGAGTCAGTTACGTTTAAGATTACACTAATTTTATTCTTGATTATGTTAGATTCTAACTGGACTCCAATTGGACTCGATAAAAAACACTCAAGTCCAGGGCTGTCAACTAATGCGTCAGTAGGGACTTGGACCTGTTCATCTTGAGAAGGTGTTCCACCTTGTTCTAGCTTTTCCCGATTTTGTCACATTTTTGTAGCAAAGATAGCCGGCAATTGGAGAAAACAGCAAATATCTGCGCAAAAACGAATCTCTGTCGTTTCGCCAAAAGACGATTCGCCGTGGCGAAAAGTCATGGGACGTTTCGCCAGTTGGCGAAGTGTCATGTGCTGTTTCGTCAATTGACGAAGTGTCATGTACCGTTCCGCCAATTGGCGAAAGCGTACAAATTCTTGGCGAAACGGCACTGACATTTCGCCATGGCGAATCGTCTTGCAGCGAAACGGTTTTTGAACATCTTTTGTGTACGCAAAATTTTGGGGAATCTCTGACGTTTCGCCAGAGCACGATTCGCCGAAAGACAATTTCCTGGAAACCTCCCTCGAAATATATATTTTCAAACAAACTAACAAATAGCTACGAACACAGAGTCTTGAAAATAGAAATGCTAGAAATGCGTACTAATTCCAACACAAATAAACATGAGAACGATGTCACAACAAAAGACATAGGGGAATAAAATAAATGTAATTTTTCAAATAGCGTTGCGTTTTATCTAATTCAACTTAGTAAAAAAACACCTGTTCTTAAAAATGAAGAAAAAAGAAAAAAGAAAAGAAAAACGATATTTACACTTTCAAAATACATCTTCACATAGTCTCTACCTCCTTCCTTCTTCTTCATCTTCACAAATACTTCCAACTACTATCACTATTTTCAACGGCACATGACATTTCGCCATGGCGAATTGTCTTTTGGCGAAACGGTTTTTTACCGCAAAAACCGTAAACATTTCAAACAAAACTTTGGCAAAATTGGAGTAAACTCAGTCCATACTTCAATAAAATCGGAGTAAGTTTCGCGTACTTTTGCCTCAAATCGGAGCAAATTTGCAAGGAAATTTCTGAAAGCAGGTGCGGTGTACCCACCTATCACGCCAACGGTCCTCCGCCACTGAAAATGAAATACAAAGTAAAATCATATTTATTAATGTTTTATGTCATAATTTAATTCATACATAATAAAAGCTTACATTATAGATAAGTCTTGCAATGGAAAGGTTTTTGGTCCTAAAATTCGCATTTATTGTTGAGATCTCTTTCCATTCACAAATGAATCTTTCATAGACGACGTAAGAAAAGTTATCGACATATTCGTGTTTTTCCATACCATATTCGTTCGATGATTTGTGCCAATTCGCTTTTTTGTTGTGCCAAAAAGAGCTCCTCGAGCTCTCTTACAAAACATGTAATTTATGGCACTCCATTATTCGAAGCGAATATGGGATCCAAAAAACGTTGTTTGTCCGCTGGTAAAAAACGACATCTTTGTATTTCCTTCCCATATTGGTTTCTTGCGGTGTGCCACTTATATTCTCTCTTGTGCCAAGTGTGTTTTGACGAGATCTATCTGGCACAACCATTGGTGTTGAGCTGAATTAATGTTAATGCATTAGATGATGGCAAAAACTCGACGATTTTTGTATTTCTTTTCCCATATTCATTTTACCGCTAATGACCTAATGACCTAGTTTTAAAAGACATGGACTAGAGAGAACTCGACAAGCTGTACAAGATGCGCTACTCAGGTTCTCGAAAACATTACTAATTAAGACTGCTGATGGCATTTCGGGTTGGAGAGTAATTAGTCTCCCATATTCGTTCCTTAGCCGTGCCATCGATGAAATTACTTGTTCTGAAAAGAGCTCGTCGAATTGAGCAGGTTTACCGTTTAGAATAGTGAAATTTAATTTGTATTTAATTAGTCTAAGTAAGGCATGAACTCTATTGACCTTCGTTACTACATAGAAAAACTGTGTGGCATCCAAACCTTTGAGTGGCAGATGTTAGCCGAGTAGAGAGAAGTCATAACTACCCATGTAGAAATTGCAAAACGTTTTCTGCGTGGTTACGCAAAAAAATGCAAAAACATCAGTGGCATATATCGTTAAAAACTCGACATATTTTCCCACGAACTGCATCTTTTATCGTTAAAAACTGCATGTTTCTTTACAAGAATTTCGAATTTTATGCTTAAATATTCCGTGTTGCTTCGCAAAAACTTCAGTTTTTGTCTTAAGAACTCGCTGATTCTTCGCAAGAATTTCATCTTTTATCGTTAAAAACTCGGTGCTTCTTCACATGAACTGCATCTTTTATCTTTAAAAAACTGCATGTTTCGTCACAAGACCTTTGAATTTTATCCGTAAAAACTCCGTGATGAACTCGATGTTTCCTCCCAAGAACTACAACTTTTATCCTTAAGAGCCCGGTGGTTCTTCGCAATAACCACAGCTTTTTTCTTCAGATCGTGTTAACCCGAAAATCTTTTTACCAAGCGATAGAGCACTAGCTCTAGTTTCAGAATAATTACGATTCATTCATCAGCTCTTTCTTCATACCACAAGAGAAGCCATTTTCCCCCAAGGTTGCTGAAATCTAGCCTACTTTTGCGCACAAGTTTTTTCGACGAATTAACAGTTGGAACAAAAAATTTTCAGCCATTAAATCGGCTGTTAATCAAAGTATATTTGACATTATTTAAATCTCGAAAAGTCTCCTAATGTCCACATGATTGCCCACTGCGTCATACAGTGATCGGTGAGAATCAAACGACGGTAGCGAAATTAGCTGTTGATTATGATGAAACGAAAGCATGAGTGTTTGCAACAACAAATAATATTGTTAAAGAATTTGTTCAGATGATCCAAGAAAACCAACATTAATTGAATGAAAATTACCAGTGATGATTACCGATATGGGCACCGAAAATTTCGCTCAAAGTTTGTCAAAAAACTTAGCATTGGATTAAAAGCCGAAATTAATGAAGTACTTGGAAGTAAAATAACAAATGAGTTACGATAGTGCTGCTACACTGAAAAGAGCGCATCTGAAAATCTATAAAAAGAGTGTTCATAGACTTTCTTATTGCACGTCCACGTGGCTAACCAAAATTGTTCACTGTGAGTCTTCATGTATGTTTGATGTTTTGTCTACCATTCACAGATAAATTCATCCTGAAATTGTTGTCGTCTGCGTCATTAAAAAAAAGCAAATAGATATTCGACAAATAACACTAATCTCCGCATTCTTCTGCTGTTATCGACAATAATCAAATTAAACATATTTTCGATTTCTAATTATAAAACTAAAAAGTCTTAGAATTAAAAATAAAAATGTTCGACAGTTTTGATTTTTTAGTTATTCGCCCAAAATGGTGATTTGCTGTCTGTTTCACCTCGAGCATACACCATTATATTTAATCGAATACGCATCGATTCTATACGCTGTCGTACGTCTTTCCATTCCATTTGAGTCATTTCTTGATCATTTAACAAAATCCATTGACTTTGTGTATATCGAATAAATGCCATGTAATGACCAGATGTACCTAATAGAACACACATATATACTCTTGTTTTCATAAACTGATACAATTTACTTATTCATCTTTTAAGTAAACAAGTCAAGTGTAATCTAGCTCAGTATGCAACTGAAAAACGAATTAAAAATTAAATTGACTAATTCCAACCCAGACACGAGCATAATCTAATGTGCTACTATTTGTACGCATGTGATGATATACAGATCTCTGTTTTACCATGATCGATTGAAATGTTTATTTTTTCATCGAGAGTATCAATAATATCTCACAAAATGAAATTCTTCATCATGAAGTAACAAAATTCATTACCTCTTGCTGTACCATCATAATAGCTGAGGGCTAGCAAATGATAAACAAATTGACTTTTATAGATATTATCAAAAATATATATGGTTTCATCATATATCAGCGTTCGATCAGTATTTGGCATTTCTAAGGTTAGAATAAATGGATAACGAACCTAAACAATAAGAAGCACTACAACTAACTTCGCTATCTAATTGTTTAGTTAATAGAAATTGTCAGCGTCGACTCTTAGGGACGTTTTCTATACAAGTTAAGAGCACAGGCATAACCGTCTTTTAGCTATTTCGTCCGTCAGCGTTAGAGAGAGAATTTTATGTTTCTTATCAATATTTAGGTCATTTTTCCGCTATGAATTCTCTCAATATTAAAATGTAGACAAATAATTATTTTGCAGAAAAACACAGTCAAAATGAAAGAAGTATACTCACTATTTGGGAAAAATGATCACTTTCATTTTTTCTGAATATCTTCATCATTGTCCGTCATGTAAGAGAACGGACACAACTGAACTATTTTCTTCATGTTCAAATTTAGCTGTCCAAGTTTTTATCAGTTTCTCCATGAAAAAGAAGGGACTCTGAAGTGGAAATATTTTGCATTTTTCAGTCATTTCTTTTACAGAAAGGTATTGTAAACGGAGCCTGAAAAAGCGGAAGATGCTCATCCTCCAAATAATTGAAAAACTGTTGTTGTTTTTCAATTCTATCTTTTTATCAATTTATTTAATATTAACAAGAAGAGAAATCCTATTTTGCATCCCCTAATACCCAACTTCTATCTGCGGTCCTGTTGATTGTGTTTGTCCTTGTAATTGTGTACACAGGAACACACAATTAATAGTTATTTTAAAAATATTTCGCGTTTTTCTTGTTAGGTACTGCTTCAAAACATTTTAAATCAGATCTGCTTATCCTGTTTCACGCATCACTTGTATATGATACTCATAAAAACTCGGTAAGTTTGTTATGTTAACAAAAGACTATAGGATTTCTTAAAATTATCTTACTAAGAATTTTTAGAATCTTGATAAGAGCAATTCTATAGCAGTAACTTTCATTCATCTTTTTCTTTTCTCTCATACAAATAAATTTATCTGTCTTATTTTGTATACGAGTTTGAGTTTCAAGACTAACTGTACTAAACTAGGTCATGAGGATAGTACAATATGATTGTTCTATCCTCAGTGGGATGCTCAGTGGATAATACTGAAGGCGATACAATTCAAGCACCTTAACTGATACCTCTGAAATATAGTTATACAAAATTTTTCGATTTTTTACAGGAGCTTTAAGTTGATTTCATTCGTGTCAGGCTAACTATGATGGTCTATTCGTATCAAAAGATCAGACATTGAAGATCCAGATTCTAGCAGTCAGGACGCTTTCGGAGTGGTTTAAAATGAGTTAATGAGAAATTAGGAATAGAAAACTAATGAACGATCACTAGAGATGCACGATGTTTATAATGCTTTTTTGAAAAGTATTGCTTTATTTAAAAGTTCGAGCGAAATTGCGCAAAAACCCTTTTAAAAAATTAGTTTTTGGTTTAACAAACTACATGGCTGAGCACCAGAAGCACGTTTTTTTTTCAAAACAAGCTAACCTTCGGAGAAATTTCTGAAGTAACTGTGGTAAACATTTCAGCCCGATCGAATGAACTTTCAGAGAGACGTAAGCAAGACTAACTGAATGCATTAGTAAAACATATCAACGTAAAGAAAAAAAATAAAGTTCATTTAAAGTCGAGGAAAAGGGCTTTTTCGTATTCACCACACTCGGAACTAGGTTTTCTATTTTTGGCGAAGAGTAATGAAAAATGTTCGAACAAAATGGCGAAAGAAATTTTTCGTGGAGAAATAACGTTTATTTTCGAAATTTTTCTTGAACTTTTTTTTAAATACATCTCGCCAGAAATAGAAAATCTTCTGAGTTATCGAGTATGATGAATAGGAAAACTCACTTTTCCGAGACTCTAAATGAACCTTTATTTTTCGGTTAGTGATATGAAGATATTTTGAAGCGGAACGAAGACGCAAAACTCGTTTTTTTGGAGGACTTCCAGTAAAATAACCTTAACTCTATTAGAAAACATAATATAGATTTGGATGACATCTCGTTTTGTTGATAACTCTTCCCACAAGACTGACTATTTGAAAAAGCTTTCAAGTGTCGAAATAAGGCAAAAGTTTTCGTAAGTTAAAAAATAGGGTAAGGATAAGCAGGATAGCAATATTTTAACATTCCAGTAGCGCAACGTTCTATCCATACCGTCCGTGTATATTCAGCGTAAGGCTGATCATCGTGACTAAGCCCGTTTTGTAGACAATATGTTGTATTGCATGTCCGCATTCGAAATGTTGTACCATTTTTCCAATGTGGCTCAATTTCAAATTTAATCAATGTTGTGTAATTATTCGAACTGTATGCTCGTTTTTCATCTCCGAATAATTCGATATCGGTTGGCCGCCTGGGCAATATTGGTAGCATTTCCATTGGCGGTGGAATTATTTGAATATTTTGCACTGTACCATCATCACATGAACAATATTTTTCCCCAATTTGTTCAATGAGAAATTGATCATCAAATTGCTTGATATAGTTAGTAAAAAATAGATGAGTACTCAATGTCTAGTAAGAAAGAAAGAGCATTCATTGTAATCCTGAAGCGCCTCTATTCTATTTAACAAAGTTTTGATTAAAAAAATAGAAACCATACACGAATTGAATTGATCACAGAAAGAAATACATGTTGTGCATCTTCTTGTCTGTTGATGGAGAATTGCATAGCATTGAGAAATAGTTTTAAATTATCTATGTAATGACCACTAGGCACATTTTCTTTTTTTGATATGAGTAAAAATATATTTTTTAATGGCATTAATATATGAACTGAACGATTATAATCCCAATTAGTTAATTTTTTTAGTTCATCCGTTGGTAAACTAATAACGGTTCGAAAAACGAATGGTATACCAGTTAGAATTTGAATAGCCGTATTACCATAACAATTAGCACCATAATTTGGTAAACCGTGAAGTTGCGGTTTTATTGTCATTACGTCTATATCTAAATATAAAAAGTCAGATTGTGTATATGTGTGTGTGAGTGAGTGGGAGAGAGAGGATGACTCTGTTTATTTCCGATGGAACTATTGATAAATTCATGAAAGAATAAAATTTATCTATTTGCCTAAATCAATAATTTGTTGATCGTAATCAGTAGAAATTACTGTGCGACGTAATACTATATAGAGAATTTCTTACTATCAACAGATTCGTTTTCGATATCTCCTTTGACCGATTCTTGATCATCTTCAATATAGGACGATGCTACAGAAGATACAGACGGTTCTCTGTGTTCCTTATTTTCATTTTTAATTTGTTCTTTTCGATAAGTGACTACGTGTAATCGTTGATTGACATTGATATTCAGCCAATTTTGATTTGAAATTTTTTGAGATTTAATTGGAGTTGATGTTTGATATATTTCATCAACAAAATCAACACATTCTGAGTTACCGTTTTGATTATGAAATGAAAATATACGATAAATATTCGCTAATTTAGCATTCGCTACAATAAAAACAGTTGCATGATACTTATTATGTTCTCGTTTAGATGAAGCAAATGCATTTAAGTATCGAATAAATAAAAGTTCCATAAAATGGACGCAATAGATTTGTCTTGTTCTAATTTGAATAGAACGGTAACTACCTGTCACTTTTTTCATTTTGTTGTGAGCAACACGGAATGCATTATATTCTTTTACTTGAAATATAATAAAAACATAATTTTTCAACACAACTGTTGTCTTCAATCCATTTTGAATTGTTTTCAGTGCACGTGCACTAACGTCATCCAAAGGATAACTAAATGTTCCTGATGAAAAACTATCAGATGCTACTGTTTCAAAACCCAATTCATCCGCTTTCAACATAATATTTCGATAAGACACTTCCAACTGACTTTGAAACTCTTGTTTTTGCTTTTCATTAGCATTCTTGTGCCAAATTGGACTAACGACATGTAAGACCGTTTTGAAACCGGTTTCATGACCATTGGTAGCAACAACCTCGCCAACTTTTGCATCATGAAAAGTTCCTATTTGGAGTGCACTGAACAACTGTCCACTAGTGTTAGCCTGAATAACTTCATCAAACTCGTCACTTCCACTCACACGAATATTCACTGTGTTCACAATACATTCAACTGGTTTTAGTCCAAGCGGGGTAACTAACGTTTTTGCATCTAAAACATTGCCCTTCAAAATGAAAATATTTCTATCATTACTATTTAATACTAAATACAAAAGAGCAATTAATAAAACACAAAAAAGAGAATTTCAATGTGGCACCTTTTCGTTCACTAATGGCTGCTGTTGTTAACCTGTATTCATCAATGAAATTTTTATTTGTATCTAATCGAAACAGACGATAAGCTTTTTCAATTTTTTTTCTTGTTGAATTTTTTCCACGAAATAAACGTTGTTTAGTCATTAAGAAGAAAACAATTAATAATTGAGGTGTTTGAATTTGAATTCTTTGTTTATCATTATTTGTACATCTTGGACACTTTTGTGGAAGATAATTGATTGATTCCAAATTGTTCTGAATGATTTGTTCTCAAATAGTGGTATGAATTAAATAAGATGAGCTATTTTAGCAGTAAGAATTCGAACTTACCAAAATCTTGTGCGTTTGCCGCTATCGTCATGTACGGTTTTGAGACGAATTTTTGTTTAAATCTGTACACTTCACAATAGCATGTTTTTGTTATACACAGAAGACGCTCAAAATTACCAGTTATTGTACTATCATTGATTTTTTGTGTATAGTAAACAAATGTTTGTAGAATATCTTTGTAAAGTAATTGAGTATCGACTTCATGTACGAGTTTTGAATATAAATTCCATGACAAAAACTGACACAAAACATTAATTAAACTTTGCATTTTTTTGTAGTGGCTATCACTGTAATCATCCCAAATCATGAACAAACTTTGGATGGAATAAATTATACTAATAATATTAGAGAAGGATCGTTGCTAAAAGATTATTCATAAAACTCTTACTTGAATTTTTAAACCCAAGATGAACCTTTGAATTCTCTTCTTATTTTTCTCTAATAAATCTTACCTTTCCTTTTATTTTCTTGTTATTTTTGCTTGTTTGTTGCTGTTGAATCACTTCTGTTAGATTAAAATTTGTTTGAATAAATATTTTCAATTGTTCATTCAAATATATTGAACGTATAACAGTCACAAATGATAAATCTAGTTTAATATCATTCTGGTCGTTATCAAATGTCAAATCTGTTAAATTTTTTTGCCCATTTAATGCGGACAATAAATCATTGACTAACGCAGTTTCTATATTGAATTTAGTACTGCGTATAAACTTCGCAAAGAGATTACGAATAATTTTGAAAATTGATTTTGTGAAACGCGAAAAACTAGACTCGACCGACGTATCTAATTAATTAAAACAAAACGTGTAGTGATTTGGTATAATGGATACTTTAATAGTAAGTGTTTCTAATAATAATTTATCATTTGCACACGAAGCAAGGAGTGAACTTTTCATCACTATTCACCTCGCACGCACCACTATACTCACTTGAATCCTCAGCATTTACCATGCTCTGCATTGATCTTTTAATCATGAGCAAAGGGGTGTTTTGGAACCTAGTGAGGCTCAACTTGTGAATTTCTCTCAAAGGTTTATGAAATCATAAGGATATGTCGTCTCCAAGAAAGTGTAAATTAAAATTTCACAGCTGTTCCTATGCTGAAATATCAAAAACTTTTAAATATTTGGGATACCCGTTTCGCCGCTATATACGCCACGACTTACGCAGTAAAGAAAACTAAACTTTAACCATCGGCGGTAGAACGTTATATTAATGGCTTTTGGACCGGTCACTGTTGTCTTACACTGTTGTTATCATATGGTTAGTTTCGCTGATCTAACGAGGGAATCTCTCGAGATTATAAATCGCTTTTTGATCGAAATCTAGTGGATTATAGGTTATCGACCATGTTGATTTCGAATATGATTATGGGAGCTGCCTATAGTCGTTCTAAGATCCGGTTTTCTGGGAAACCAGTTTTTCAGAAGCTCTAAAGAATAACCAAAACCTTTCTTAAGAACAGATAATTTTAGCC